AAATACTACTTTTGCAAAACCCAACTGCTTGTACCAGTGCAATGATAATTAATAAACTTACCTTATTTGTCTTTTAGTCGTCCTAGAGAGAATTCGCCGCCCTATAGTTTGACAGGTGAGATCAGAAGAGGAGACTAATTAAACCAAGGGAAAGATTAAGATAATTATCACTACACGTACTTTTGGTATCGCCAGCAACACAGACCCACTCACTCAACGTAGCACGAGTCTTGGTCCGAATTGGCAACAGACTCGCCGTTGAGAATAACAATAGTAAATCGTACATAAATAAAAAATTTTTGATTTTAAAAAAATCAGGTATTACTTTATGCGGATACTGTACATGTATTTACTTATTAACAAATTAATATTTGTTGCAACATATCTCAATATATCACTATTTTGTAGATTTATACCAAGTCATCTTTGTAAAAATCAAATCAATAATTAATAAAAGATTACAGTTTAAGAAGTGCTTTACAAAAAAAAATCAATGAGATTATAATTTTTTTTTTTAAAAAATTCAATTTATAAATAACTAAACTTACTTATATAATAATGAACAATAATAAATTTTTATAAGATAAATATTATATATAGAGAATTTGTTTTCAAACTAATATCAAAATAATTTAAATAATTAACATTGTAACTATTGTATATAGTATTCAATACTACTGTATAACTGAACTTTTAAACTTTTTGTTACCTTTTACTTTATATTATTTACTTTATTACTATTCAGCTTTATATTACTACATATTAATTATCAATAAACAAATAACCTTTCAAGAAAACATCTTCAAATTATACAGTATATTACTAATTATGCTAAGTAAATTCTAGTTTTACTCTTTCTAAATATATTAAAAAACAAGTCAAAGTATTATATAGTAAGCTTATTAATAAAATCAATTAGACACAGAAGATAAAAAATATACAAATAACCTAAAAGAAATAAAAAAACATTACTAAATCAGATGTACTAGAATTTGACTCGTTCTACTTTAAGCAACCTAAAATACAAGGTAATATTTTACTCTATATAACCTCTTATATACTGTATTATATATGGAATAGGCATTATATATTATCAAATACCTATTCAAAGTTTTGATGAATAAATCGTATATTTCTCATAAAGGGACGCTTTATTATAAGTTGTTTTTTTTTTAAGAATAGCTAATCTGTCTCTTATATTCTTTAATTTAAGACATTAAAACAAAATTTTAATAAGGCAACAAGGAAATATTAAGTTCGTACCTAGATCTGATTACTATACTTTACGTAACATAAATTTAGAAATAAGCAGCACACAGAAAAACAAAATTAATTATATAGCAAGTTAACGCTATAAATATAAATATAAATAATGCTATTGCTTATTTCTGAGTTATCTTGTACTATGACCCTTGTATTCCATTCCTTATAACAACTTTAACACTTTCAATCCATTTATGGGTGCAATAGATTACAGTGACAAGCAACAAAGAATGTCGTTAATATATATTTCCAATTGTACTTAAGCCATGTTTTATTTATCGAGTACGTAAATCTACAACTTTAAATGCAAAACAAGCTTCTGTTGTTTCTCTTTTATGATTGCCGTTTTCTTCCTTATTGATATAAGAGTATAAAAGTATGCAAGATAAAAGGCCATGGTTTTAATAGGTGTGAAATAAGGGTTGTATGCAAGATAGAAGGCTATAGTCTAAAAAAGTCAAACAAGCATGATTACATGATAAACAATTTCTCTCACGCACCTTGGCTAAATTGCATAACGCAACATAATCTCGCGATCTGACTATATAATAATATATCTGGTACATTCTGTTGCGCATATATTTATACAGAACTTGCGCCTGTTATTTACACGTTACATCATACTATTTTACACTATTTTAGAAATTCCTTCACCCCTAAATTTCTCGCCTTAATATTCCCACCGTTCGCGACAATAGGATGACGTACGTGATATCGCGTCGCATATTCGCGTCGCATATTCGCGCCGCATTTACATTCGTTCATATTTAGAAATTATATTTTCCCTCTCTAAATTTTTAAAAAGTTTTCTTCCCTTCTTCGATCCTTTTTACTTATGCAATTAACATATCTAGTGTTACGGGGCGACTGGCGAGTCTGTCGCTACGTCGTACCTCGGCTCGCGTCGCATCCCACGAAACGTCAATAAAAGAAAGGCTTTAACTCCTGAGGAGGTTTCGACTTGGCCGGTGTAACTTTGTCCAATCAGCAAACTACTCTTAAACCCTGCGTCTCGCCAACTCTTAGGCAAACCTGGTTCTATCTTGATTGCGCAATGCAAGTTACAAGTGTCCTCCACGTGTCAAACAATCACTCAACAAGTTTAGATTTTAATTTTATTATTTCTTTGGAGTACGCGCAGAGTACCAAAAAACATTGTCTACAAATGCAAACTTATCTATCCTATTTATAGTTTATTTTAGGATCTGTGTAAAATATAAACAAATATAAATCCAATATATACTTACCTATTTACCCGATAACACTAGTTAATTAATAATTTGTAATTTTATTTAATGTTACGGGGTAATTCATTGAGTATGTCGCCAATGCACAAGAATTCCTAGCGTAAGTAGCACTCAGTCGACAAAATAACGAATAAGTTTCCGATTGACTCGAGACTTGTTTTAGACTTAACCGGTCTTTGATTTGGCCTTTTATCGACCAACCTAATTGCTATTTCCCTTAGGCAGACCTAGATTCGCAGACCTATTGCGTGGCACGAGTTAAAGTATTTTCGGGACACGTGATGCTGTCGAATGACGCAGATATTGTTGCAGGCTAATCGGCGAGTCAGTCGCCAATGCACAACACAATTCTTCTCGCTAATTGTAGCATTGGCAAAACAATAAGGTAAGTCTCTCCTTTAACTCTTGAGGCGCGTCTTCGATTTGACCGTTCTCCGCTTTAACTTCTACTGACTAACCTAGGACCCTTCCAATACCAACTCCCTTAGGAAAAACCTTGGTTCTCTCTTGTAGTCGCGTATCCCAAGTTATAAGTCTTTTTTAACACACTAAAGACAAGGTAAGAATTATCTTAAATGCTGCTTTATTCTTTATTACTTACTGTGCTTTCCACAAACTTCTAACTTGTCTACATGCTACTGAATTGCGCATATATTTATACATGCACCTGTTGTTTACATGTTTACATATATTTTTTATTCTATGTTATTCTAGAAATTTCCATCTCTAAATTTTCCCACCATAATTTCCCACTGTTCTGAAACAAAAGACTGATGTAACGTGTTATCGCGTCACAAACCTGCGCCTCATTTACCTGTAACAGCATTTACACATGCTTCTATTG